GGGGGGGGGGGGGAAGAAGTTGTGTATGACATTCGTCACCCTAGCATCCCTTAGGGAAAAGGTATAGCTCTCTGGAGGGACAATTGTGCATGACACTCCTCACCCTAGTCCCCTTGGGAAAAGGAAGAAACTTTTTTGTCTTGACTTGATTTGAATCCATTCCTCTGTGACAATTCAAATTAAGGCTATTAGGAAGTAAGGAATATCATGTAAAATTGTTATTTTTTCACAAGTTTGGCACTGTTTTGTGTTGATCAATGAAGTTAAATGTTTTTTCCTTCCATTTTTGGCAAGGCACTACATCCCTCTCATATTGGCCATTGTGTATTTATTGTGTAAAAATGCAGTGAGATATTTTCGAGAGTTCAATATGCGCAGTTACGTATAATTAGTAATTATTACCAACCGCAAAAACCATTCATCAGGAAGTTATTCCCTCAAATGAGAGTAGAAGGCCAAAATTACTACAACTGCACTGTTTCAGCGGGATACACTGCATGTTATTAGAAGTATTGGAGAATTTTAAAATCGCTAAATACTAGAGAGCTCATTTTGTTGGGGGTTCAATTTGACCACCCAGTCGCATATCGATTCTGCTATTATTAAATTAAATCGATTTTAAAATGCTCTCGCCGCTCGGGCGTTTAACCTGTACATGTTATGTTGCAACTTTATAGATGTACAAACGTTGATTCGTTTTTTTGTTATTTATGGGAATCTTTCAGCCAGTCGCTCGTCGCTTTAAGCATAGATTTTTCTTTTCTCGTGATCACAGCCACTTTTCAAGACGAGACACGCTCGCGCGCTATCTCACGCTCTGTTGTCCTTGATATCTTTGCAGCAGCTAAAAATGTCATGTTTGTTCCGTGTGGAATTCTTTGTTGAACGTTTCTTTGTGAGCGTTTCATTGTTTCATTCTTAGCATTTGAGCAAAACAGACATTATGAGTGGATTTTGTTTTGTCTTGGATCTTGGCGTTGAGCGAAATTTAATGAGCCCAGTCCTTGTCGACACACACAGAGATGAGTAAAATTTGCATAGAGATTGGTCTTTAAACGTCAATATTATTTTCTTGTTTGCTTAACGCAATTTCACTTACAGCCGAAAATAAATTTGCTTTTGCAATATTTAGTGGCCTTTTAAAGTACGTTGAGGTGTATTTCACCGCAAACGATTTACAATATAAAGTTAACTAGGAGTTAACCCAACACACAGGAAGTTCTTGACATAGCAAAGATTTCGGATAAGCATATTCTTTGTGGTTCCCATAAATTAGAGAGTCAATTAGAAACGTTTTACAATTTATCGTTTAAATTGTAGTAACTGATTGTCGAGTTGGGATTTTTGGGAAAAATATCATGATATTAAAATATTTATAATGTAATTTTGGCAATGTAATATTTCACTTGCTGTCGAGGTAGGCGTGATAAGTAGTTTGCGGAAACTCTAGAGTTTCGTTTTGTCTCGATCAACTTTTAAGGAAGCCGATTAAAAAACATACGGCGCTTAACAAAGGCCTGCTTTTATTTTTATCAGCAGAATCACCTTGACTGGTGCCACAATGTCCAAAGCAGGCCACTCAAGATATGCTAAACCCCGTCGCGTTTTATTCAAATTAACCATTTGTATCCTGAAGGCTTGACAAATTGTAGCGTAATATTTACATACTCTAGATAGCTAATAATGGCTACGACAACACTCAGCGACTTCCTCCTGAATCTGAGAGGAAAGTTCACTTGCTACCACTGTAAGGGGTCGTTAAACAATCCGAAAATCCTGCCATGTTTGCACGCTTTCTGCTCCGGTTGCCTGAAAAGGCTGGAGATGGAAAACCTGGGTGCGGAACAGGCCAGATGCCCGTTATGCAAAGCAATAATCGAGCTGCCTGAAGGGGTCAATATTGATAGCCTTCCTTCGCCGCTTTACCTTAGTCGGCTGCAAGATATGATCCGAATTCGAAACAACAACCCTGAGTTAGCCTGTGGTAGCTGTGATCGTAGAGCCGTCGCCGTGTCTTACTGCTTCGACTGTAAATGCCTCATTTGCGTCAGCTGCGTCGAAGTTCACTCGCGGATGAAAGTGATGAAGTTTCACCGCGTTACCGAGCTCGGGGAGTTCTCATCTAAAGATCTTCCCGTGCTGATTCAGGCGCCGCTGTCGTGTCGTCAAGATGGACATAAACAAGAGGCGCTGGATCACTTCTGCAAAGATTGCGAGAGGCAGGTTTGCGAGAAGTGCGTTAACACTTCACATCAAGGCCACAACCTACTGGCGATCAGCCAAGCGAGTAGAGAGAGCAAGAAGCGTATTTTACATGCCATGGATGGTTTGCAAGATAAGATGTTGTCCTGCCGAGACGAGATAAAACGAGTCGATCAGAGCTACAAAACGGTGGAAAGGAGGGTCATTACGGCGCGGCAAGAAGTCCTGAAGAAAATTGAGGATCTGATTGCTTTGTTACGAAAGCACGGCGACGAAATGCTGTCTGAGCTTGAGAGCGTTTACAAAGATCAACAGCTTGCTATAATTAAGCAGCGAAAGGAACTAGAGTTACAACTAGGGCAGCTGCAGAAAACTCACGAGTACGCCAAAGACATGCTGGACAGGAACATCGAGGGCGAGATTTTAGACATGGAACGGCCGGTGAAAAAGCGCATTCAGCAGTTGATTGCCATGAAACCTAAGCCAGTGCCGAACTCACAGAAAAGCATAAACGTGGATTACATCCCTGATCAAGAAGTACTCAAGACTCTCGAGAAATCAGAACTCGGGCGAATCTTTGTTAGCCATACAGATCCCGAGAACTGTACCGCCGAGGGAGAGCAGATGACTCAGCAGCTAACTGGAACGGGAGAGCGAATCGAATTCAGGATTCAGACGAACGATTCCGATCACAATCAGAGTTATTCCGAGAATGATCGCGTCACAGTCCGTATCCAATCAACGAAAGGCACGGCTATTCCCACGAGAATCGAAGACAAGAAAGATGGAAGTTATGTTGTCAGCTACACTCCGTTAAAGACAGGCGTGTACCAGATCGACGCAAGAGTCCGAGGCGAGCCGATTAAAGGGAGTCCTTGTACAGTACACGTAACCACACGGGCGGAATACCTAAAGGCTAACCGAATGAACCTGGAAAAGGCCACGAAACCGCACCACTACAGACCTGTCGCTTCCTTCGGCTCGTCTAGTCGAGAGAGGTTCCAGATCAAACGGCCTTGTGGGGTCGCGGTCAGCACTTTGGGCGAGGTCGTAGTTGCAGACTCGTGGAATCGTCGGCTTCTGGTCTACTCTCAGCGAGGTAAACAGTTCGCGCAATTTGAAAGCAGGGTTCTTGAAGGGAGCGTGGACCTAACAAATCCAGTTGGCGTCGATTTTGACACCGAGGGAAACATTGTGGTGGCCGATAGTGACAATCAGATGATACATGTTATTGATCGATGTGGCGTGACCATCAAGACTTTTGGAAGTGACGTACTCGAATGCCCGTGGGGTGTTTGCGTGACGCGTGAGGGTAAGATTGTCGTGTGTGACTGGGGAAGCGCTTCTGTCAAGGAATTTTCCCAACAAGGAAAGCTCTTAAAAGAGTTCGCCAGCCGCTGGGCAGCAAAACCTTATTATGTTATTCACCACAATGACAAATACTTCGTCACTTTTGATAGTCACTACGTTGAAGTGTTCGGGAGCGCGGGGGACTTCATGTACAAGGTTGGCGAAAAGGGATCCAGCGATGGGCAGTTAAGGGATCCAAGAGGAATGGCTATAGACAGCAAAGACAATCTGATAGTCTGCGACAGCGGGAATCACCGCCTTCACATGTTCACCACAGACGGGAGGGCGTTTGCATTTGGAACTCAGGGGAAAGAGACTGGGCAGTTTGACAAGCCACAAGATGTTGTCGTGACAACTGATGGTATACTGTTCGTGACTGACTACTGTAACAATCGTGTGCAGATATTACAAAAGAATTAACATCATTCCACTGTACATGATTTTTGGGGACAAATCTATAGACTAGCAAATCGTTTTTTTTTTTAGTCCGCAAATCAATGAAGGTTCACAGTATTTAGTAAGTGTTGAAACCAAACACCAGCTCGTGGTTTTTCTGTCATGTTGTTAACGGTCCAAACATGTCACGAAATATTTTCAGAGTTTGTATGAAACTCCAGCGTCCTATAATTTTCCGTAGTTTTCGTTAAAACATGGCACATGTGATACATATTTACTGATCAAATTGAATTGGAATATCTATGCCACAATGCGTGTAATATGCGCTTTTGCATCTGTCGTTGAGAATGAGTTGTAGTATGTGTTGTGAGATTTTTGAAAAACTGAAAACGCAACTCCTTGAATCCTTTACGGCAGCAACTCTACCGACTACTTCTAAGTGTCTTGATGAAAGCGTAGAAATGTTTTAACAGGGTTTCCTTTATAGTTGTGGCTCCAAGTTCCAAAGGAAAGTGTTAAAAAGGAGATGGGTTCTGGCCCGGGGGTACTTCCTTACATGGGTTATATAGGTATGTGCGGCCCCAAAGGATATGGTTTTTCAGCCGTTTTGGTTATAAATAGGGTATCGATTTTGGCCATTTTGGTCATACATAGGGTATGGTTTTTGCACTCTTGTCTTGAACTGGTTATGTTTTTTTTAGAAAAAGCTACTTTTTCATCATTATCGATAAGACCATCAACAAAAGCCCTTCATAAATTATGTTTAGGGCAACTGTGGCAGCCGCAACTGTCATAAATAGGGTATCAAATTTTTGGTCAAATCGTAGATTTTGGTCATTAATAGGGTAAGAGTTTGGGTAAGCGGACCGCACACCCCTAACCAATTTTTCTGGGAGTACCCCCTCCCTAGGATTCTGGCCAGTTGCAAATGTTTTCCTGGGGAAATTTCTCATTCTGTTTTCAGCGTAGTCCTCTTATGTTAAGCGCATTAAGCAGTTGTGAACTAATATAGCTGTGCGGTTTGTCATACAAGCGGAGAGAAAAAGTCGTTCCGTATTTATTGTTCGATGTGTACCATGATTATATTGACTCACTGCCAAGTGCATGCAGGCCGATTGCGTTGACTTTGACAGTACGGCAAAGGCATCATGCGAGATGTGCTAGTATGAGGGACTTCATTTCCATACCGTTAATTAAAACCACTCAGATTAAATTTTCTCGATGCTTCTCTCGGAAGTTTTAATCATACTTTCCTAGCTTAGCATCACATCAGGTTAAATAAAACTGGCAAGAGCATGTAATACTAAGTAGCTGCCTGGTTACCAAATGTTCTAATTTATTACGCTACAGTCTATCAGATTTTTTAAAACTTTCCTATGCCGCTAGCTGTCTTTAGTTGAATCGAGCCCAGGACACTCAGTACAACATCGCGCGCAACGATTCGCGCAACAACTGAATTGCCATTGCCTCAATGATGTAACGCCTAATGGAAAAATGACATCTCTGTTGCAAGTACCCTGTTTTGTACTTAACGGATTGGAGGTGTAAGGCCATTAAGATTTACACTTTTCAAGCTGGGTTTTTAACAGTAAGAGAATAGTGACACCCGTGCCTGTCATATCTTCATATCTGTCGTTAATTGCAATTTTGATTTCGTTATTTCGGGTCAGGTAGTAGCTCTCCTAAGGTCTTGCATGAATGGCTGGATATCGCTTAAGAGAGCAATAAAACAAACAACAGAAACACTGCCCCTAGCCCCAAAACAATAACAGCTGCTACACTATTACGACAAAGACAATTACAAGCTTACTAGAGCTATTACACTTCTGTTAGTTTTCAACCATTTGGGCTCGTGATCCGCTTCAGAAATGTTGCGCGAACATGCGTAGCACGAGACCAAGTTTGAAAGGAACAGCTGCACGCAGTATTGCTTGCAATGTTGCAGCATGTGTCCTGGCCTTAAANTCGTGATCCGCTTCAGAAATGTTGCGCGAACATGCGTAGCACGAGACCAAGTTTGAAAGGAACAGCTGCACGCAGTATTGCTTGCAATGTTGCAGCATGTGTCCTGGCCTTAAACCCCTCGTTATGTATCGGTACCAGTTCTTCACGTGCATCACTACTGGATGTAGACTCCACAGATCGCTGGGTAGATCTCTACTTTTGGTTTTATCTCACCGGAATAGCTGATAATGATTTCTCCACAACTGAGATAAGGATATTCCTGAAAGCCAATCCCAACACCACGAACCAAATATGGTAAAGGACATCGGCTCTGAGGCTGGGTCTCCATTCCAATCCGGGACTTTATAACCAATGGGTACGGTCCCAGCATGTTGAAGCCCTGCACCAAACAACTTTTGTCGATGTTGGGTGGAGTCTTGATAGTGGGCAAGTCTGCTGCCCATGTCTTCTTCGCACCACAGCGTAGAACGGAGTGAAGCGACGATGCTGTGTAATTCATTACAATCGATGTTGCGTTCCTTGAGAGATTTGCTGCAAAGCTCATAGTGACACATACCCGGGTGAAACTGCTCAGCCAGAATGCTGGAAATTTAACTTGTCTCCCACCGCTTAAAATCCATCTGACTGAGACCTTCTTGTCGGTCCAGCGATGTGAATCATAGACGTGCGAGTTCTAAGATGTGAGATATACTTAGTGTTAGTTATAGTTTCTGCAAAAAGGACTTCATCGAGGCACCCGCGGACTTTCTAATGAAAAAAAAAAGCAAATCAGTCACAGGCTAGAAGAGAAATGTAAACTTCTTTTGGAGTCAGTTTTGAAAGGAAGCAATCACTAAGTCGCCTGAAAACATAATTGTCTTAATGATGATAGATGCGAATGCAGCCATAACACTACTAGGAAAAAGACCTGAAAAAATTTTCAGGTTTTGAACGGGATTCGAGCCCACGACCTTTGTTACCGGTGTCATGCTCTCCCACCTAAGCTATCAAAGCCATATGAGAGGGGTCGTGTGTGGGTTGACCCTTTATGTTCAGTGGACGTAATATTCGGCTCAAGTATGTGAATTCCATAGTAATAGATGTCCAACAGTAGCAATTAAATGTAGGCATGATGATAGACGCGAATGCAGCCATAACACTACTGGAAAAAAGACCTGAAAAAATTTTCAGGTTTTGAACGGGATTCGAACCCACGACCTTTGCGTTACCGGTGCAATGCTCTGTAATGTTATGGCTGCATTCGCATCTTTCGTCATGTCTACGTTTAATTGCTACTGTTGAACATCTTTTACTATGGAATTCACATACTTGAGCCGAGTATTACGTCCACTGAGCATAAAGGGCCAATGCTATTTTGTGCAGCACAACATGCTGTACAAAACAGGGATAAATGGAGAGGGATTGTAAGTTGTTGACGTTTGTGCCACAGTGGACGAAGGGGATTATTAAAAGTAGTAAATAGTAGAGCAAAGTCATCCCGGTTGGTTCACCATGACATTATACAGTATTTATAGTCAAGCTAAGCTAATTTTATGTAACTTTCTCTGGTATTGTTGCTGGGGATCCAAAATTCAATACCTTGGTTTTGTAACCCCTGATTCTCATCACCAGTTCCCAGGCTCCATTTCCACATCCTTCAACTCCCTTCATTTCACACTGTCTTGGCCACGTCTTATTACCGACTGTTATGTTGTAAATACCAGTCGGGCTTGAGCTGCGTTAAAAAGAGTTTTATGAGCTTGAGCATTATTTCTGTTTTTACACAAAAACGAGTTCTTGGAACATTAAGCATTTGAATAATAGCGTTGACCGTATGTTTGCGAGAACGAAATTTTTCAAACTCATAAATAATTCGTTGCGTTTAAGCAAAGGAAATCATGGACCTTGACGGTGTGCGTCATAGCATGCGGCCAACGCCAACTTATATCTACATGACAGTGACCACCTCGAAAGCTCATTGGCTACTTTGGTCACTGTACACAATTAAATATTGTGTCTTGTAGTTAATTTCTATCTGTATTTATTTTTCCTATATCATTGTAAACCATCTTACGTTAAGTTGTTTTTCTGTAAATAGTGTGCGATAATAAAACTGAAACTAAAAACAGTGTTTGGATATCTGATATTAATAAGCATAGATTTTTCACGATTTTAATATTCCATTTTCTCCTCTGTTTTGGTTTTGATTGATAAAAAATATCAAACACTCGAGACATTGTTTGGCCACATTTCCAAACACCTCGAAGTTCCTCAAAAATACTGCGATACACGTCGTATTTTCGACTCTCTTCTCGGTGTTCGGAAATGTGATCAGACACGGTCTCTCGTGTTTGATATATTACTAATAATCATTGAAAAAATATTGAAAGAAATTAAAATAGATGGCATTAAAATGTGGAGCATTTTTGAGTGCTGAAATAATGTAGGTTTACCCGATGCCGTTCTTCCAGCCTGACCTCAATGGGGGTAGAAAGGTAAACTCTGCATACGAGCCAGGCCGGCGTTTATCCCGGTCTCTGTTGCATGAAGCGACTAGGAGTATTTCAATTTCCCCCTGGATGAGATGCCAGTCCATTGCAGGGTTCGCCGGTACCTATTTATACACCTGGGGGGAGAGAGACACTGAGAGTAAAGTGTCCAGCCCAAGAACACAATACAATGTCCCCAGCCACGGCTCGAACCCAGACTGCTCGATCCAGAGAACACTAACGATGAGACCACCGCGCCTCCCACCTTAATGGGGACTAATAGCTATTTAACCATACCTATTTTTTTGTAGAATGCTGCTGCAAGAAGGGACGTCGGTTTGGTTTGTTTCTTTGAGAATTAAAAAAATACAATTTCGGTCAGTGGTTACTAACAGAATAATCAGAGTTCTTTATTTTCACACGCTAGTATCACTTTTATGACATCGACAACAACATGATTGAATCCATCCTCATTGTCATACTCATGTTAATTACTATCAACGTCGTTATCATTATCGTCGTAGTCGTCATCATAATCATAATCGGAAACATTTTTTTTTATAAGCACTATTATCACTTGGGAAAAAAAGTTTTATGTAACTTTTGAACAAAGCCACCATGGATAAATAGTTGTTCTATCTATCTGGATCTCTTTCCTTATTACCGTGAGCAGTGCAAGGTTTGTCCTTCTCCGCTGAAACACAGTCTTGTTTGCTGTTTGGGGCAACATCGACCTTTATAGAAGAAAAGTACACCATTTGCAAGTGCGTCAAATGTCACTTTAGTTAGTGTCGTATAAAAAGCAGGTCATAAATTAGCAGATAATTGAGGAGCAAACTAACGATTAATCAATCAATCAATGCATAGCTAGATGGGTAAGTCAAGCAAGCAAGCAAGCAAACAAGCAAGCAGGTAGCAAAAAAAAAAAAACAAAACAAAAACAAAACAAAAAAAAAAAACAAGCATATAGCGAGCTAGTAAGTAAGCAATCCATAATTACATAAAATGCCTTTTACATAACTTATTCATGTTGTCATCACTTTTTGTAAGGTAATGTAAAACGTAAACCACGAGGTAACAAGAAAAGAATCTGAAATGACCATACTACGGTTCTACTGCCAACGAACCAAACTCGATCGAGTACATAAATGGAAACTGTTTCTTTTGTTAATAGAACAAAGACGAAGAAGTGTTCCAT